TGGTTCTGAGCAGATCAGGAAGAAAATGTCAGGGAGATGCTGCGATTACAAGCTAGGCCCCTGACACGTTGACAAGAGCAGGAAGATCTGTGTGAGCATTGCTGATAAAATCACCCAAGGAGTTCTCAGAAGAAAGGGAACAACTCGGGCTGGGCGCAGTGGCTCACACCTGTAATCCCAGCACTTTGGGAGGCCGAGGTGGGTGGATCACGAGGTCAAGAGATCGAGACCATCCTGGTGAAACCCCGTCTCTACTAAATATACAAAAAATTAGCTGGGCATGGTGGTGCGTGCCTGTAATCCCAGCTACTCAGGAGGCTGAGGCAGGAGAATTGCCTGAACCCAGGAGGCGGAGGTTACGGTGAGCCGAGATCGCACCATTGCACTCCAGCCTGGGTAACAAGAGCGAAACTCCGTCTCAAAAAAAAAAAAAAGAAAGGGAACAAGTCTTTTAGCTCCAGTAACTTGTGGTGATTTTATTTTCAATTCCAAATAAATATTAACTTGTGTATCTGACTTGCAGATTTTTTGTTTTCCCTTCCTTCCTTCCTTCCTTCCTTCCTTCCTTCCTTCCTTCCTTCCTTCCTTCCTTCCTTCCTTCTTTCTTTCTTCCTTTCTCTTTCTTTCCTTGTTTCTTTTCTTTTTTTTTTTTTGTGATGGAGTCTCACTCTGTTGCCCAGGCTGGAATGAAATGGCAAGACCTTGGCTCACTGCAACCTACATCTCCCAGGCTTAAGCGATTCTTCTGTCTCAGCCCCACTAGTACCTGGGACTATAGGCATGCACCAACACACCCAGCTATATATTTTTTTCTTTTTGAGATGGAGTCTCCCTCTGTCACCCAGGTTGGAGTGCAGTGGTGTGATCTTGGTTCAAGCAATTCTCGTGCCTCAGCCTCCTGAGTAGTTGGGATTACAGGCGCGCAACACCACACCCAACTAATTATTGTATTTTTAGTAGAGATGAGGTTTCACCATATTGGCCAGGTTGGTCTCAAACTCCTGACCTCATGATCTGCCTGCCTCAGCCTCCCAAAGTGCTGGGATTACAGACATGAGCCACCATGCCTGGCCTATAATTTTTGTATGTTTACTAGTGATGGTGTTTTGCCATGTTGGCCAGGCTGGTCTTGAACTCCTCACGTCAGGTGATCTACCCACCTCTGCCTGCCACAGTGCTGGGATTACAGGCATTACAGGCTGGGATTATTGGCCTGAAAGTAAATTTGAAGGCATTTTTTTGTAACTAATTAAGAAAACCCAAACAGAACCAGGTTGCAGCCAATCACAAACAGCCAACCAGCCATTTGGTTATTTAACTAGGGACCACTTACCGACCCATATTCAAATAAGTCAAATGCCCAGCAGTAGCCAATCAGGTAGTTTCTTTGCCTTGTTTCTATGTTCAGCCTATAAAAAGTCACTGAGTGGCCGGGCGTGGTGGCTCACGCCTGTAATCCCAGCACTTTGGGAGGCCGAGGCGGGTGGATCACGAGGTCAAGAGATCGAGACCATCCTGGTCAACATGGTGAAACCCCATCTCTACTAAAAATACAAAAAATTAGCTGGGCATAGTGGCGCGTGCCTGTAATCCCAGCTACTCAGGAGGCTGATGCAGGAGAATTGCCTGAACCCAGGAGGCGGAGGTTGCGGTGAGCCGAGATCGTGCCATTGCACTCCAGCCTGGGTAACAAGAGCAAAACTCCGACTCAAAAAAAAGAAAAAAAAGGCACTGAGCTAGGCACAGTGGCTCACGTCTGTAATCCCAGCAGTTTGGGAGGCCAAGGTGGGTGGATCACCTGAGAGCAGGAGTTTGAGATAAACCTGGCCAACATACTGAAAGCCTGTCTCTACTAAAAATACAAAAAATTAGCTGGGCATGGAGGTGGGTGCCTGTAATCCCAGCTACTCAGGAGGCTGAGGCAAGAGAATCACTTGATCCCAGGAGAAGAAGGTTGCAGTGAGCAGAGGTTGCATCATTGCACTCCAGCCTGGTCAACAAGAGTGAAACTCCACCTCAAAATAAATAAATAAATATAACAACAGCAACAACAAAAACCCAGCTCACTGCCCGTGTTGCTGGGGTGGAGCTCACACCCTCCTTTTGGTTTGGTGCTTCCTGATTCATGAATTTGTTCTTTGCTCAAATAAACTGTTACATTTATTTTGTCTAAAGTTCTTCTTTTAAGCCTGTGAAGGTATTTGGCAGCTGTGGTCAAAGTTAGCTATGAGCAGACATTAAGTAGAAATGACCTTTCATAACCTGGGTGGGCTTCAACCAGTGAGTTGAAGACCTTAAGAACAAAAGCAGAGCTGGGCGCACTGGCTCACATCTGTAATCCCAGCACTTTGGGAGGCCGAGACGGGTGGATTACAAGGTCAAGAGATCGAGACCATCCTGGTCAACAATGTGAAACCCCGACTCTACTAAAAATACAAAAATTAGCTGGGCATGGTGGTGCGCACCTATAGTCCCAGCTACTCGGGAGGCTGAGGCAGGAGAATTGCTTGAACCCAGAAGGCAGAGGTTGCAGTGAGCCGAGATCACGCCATTGCACTCCAATCTGGGTAACAACAGCGAAACTCTGTCTCAAAAAAAAAAAGAAAAAAGAACAAAAGCAGAGCTGGGCACAGTGGCTCACACCTGTAATCCCAACACCTTGGGAGGCCAAGATGGGTGGATCACTTGAGCCCAGGGGTTCAAGACCAGCCTGGACAACATAGTGAGACACTGTCACTACAAAAAAATACAAAAATTAGCTGGCATGGTGGTGCACACCTGTTGTCCCAGCTACTCAGGAGACAGAGGTGGGAGGATCACTTGAGCCTGGGAGGTTGAGGTTGCAGTGAGCCATGATTGCATCTTTGCACTCTAGCCTGGGTGACAGAGTGAGACCGTTTCGGGAAAAGAAAAAAAAGAGAGAGAGAGAAAAGCATAGGTTTGTTGGAGAAGACTGTGACCTAGAATTCCTGCCTGAGTGTCCAGCCTACAGCCTGCCTACAGATTTCAGACTTGCCAGACCCCACAGTCTGTGAGCCAGTTCCTCAAAATAAACCTCAATCTCTATCTCTCTCTCTTTGTGTGTATATATATATATATATATATACACACACACACACACACACACACACACACACACACACGTATATATACGCACTACTGGTTCTGTTTCTCTGGAGAACCCGGAATGATTCAATCACCTACTCATCTTGCCATCTAGATCATGTGGCCTATAATGGCGGGAAATGACCATTAAAGTTTTCGACAGGGCTTTGGACTGAATTGTGTATGTCCACCCTCTCCCCAAATTCACATGAAGCCCTAGTCCCCATTGTGATTGTACCTAGAGACGGGGTCTTTAGGAGGTAAGTGAGGTTAATTAAGTCATAATGGTGGGGCTCTAGTCCAATAGGACTGTGGTTTTCTAGGAAGAAGATCTCGGTCTCTCCTCGCCTCCCCCACGTGAGGAATCGCAGGAAGGCAGCAGTCTGCGTGCCCGAGAAGGAGTCCTCACCAGAACCTGACCCTGCCGGCACCTCCACCTCGGACCTACCATCTTGAGAACTGTGAGAAAATAAATTTGGGGTTTTTTAAACCCATTCAGTCTAGGGTATTCATTATGACAATCTGAACTGACAGAGACAGACAGCAACACTTTCTGTCAGAAAAACTGGATTAATACATTTAGGATACTCAAAGAAAACACAAACGGAGCCAGGATTTTATATCTGGTCAAACTAACTTTTAAGTATAAAAGTAGCAGATTCTCAGTCTGGACGCAGTGGCTGATGCCTGTAATCCCAGCACTTTGGGAGGCTGAGGCAGGTGGATCACTTGAGGTCAGGAGTTCAAGACCAGCCTGGCCAACGTGGAGAAACCTCATCTCTACTAAAAATACAAAAATAGCTGGGCGTGGTGGCACATGCCTGTAATCTCAGCTATTCAAGGGGCTGAGGCAGGAGAATTGCTTGAACTTGGGGCAGGGCAGAGGTTGCAGTGAGCTGAGATTTCACCACTGCACTCCTGGCTGGGTGACAGAGGGAGACTCTGTCTTAAAAAGAACAACCAGAAAAAAGATGCAGGAACCCAGAGAATATTGTTTCCAAAGCCTTTCCTGAGGAATTACTAGAAAATGAGATTCAGACAACAAAAGTAACCAAAAAGATGTTGACATTAGCCTGGTGTGAACGTTACATGTACATTTACATGGATAACTAAGAGAAGATGAGCAGTAATAGGGAGAGAATGGAGTGTAATGTTACATTCGCCAACAACGTAGACACAGCAGACCTATAAATCGGGGGGAGAAAATGGTGTGGGCATATGTTTACAATGATTTTTTTTTTTTTTTTTTTTTTTTGAGACAGAGTCTCGCTCCATCGCCAGGCGCCAGACTGGAGTGCAATGGCGTGATCTCGGCTCACCGCAACCTCCGGCTCCCGGGTTCAAGCAATTCTCCTGCCTCAGCCTCCTGTGTAGCTGGGATTACAGGCACGCACCACCATGCCCAGCTAATTTTTTGTATTTTTAATAGAGACGGGGTTTCACCACGTTAACCAGGATGGTCTTGATCTCTTGACCTCGTGATCCACCTGCCTCGGCCTCCCAAAGTGCCAGGATTACAGGCATGAGCCACCGCATCCTGCAAGTAAATGTGATTTTCAAATTTTATCATCCCCAGTGGCCAGATAACTGAATTCTTGGTGTAGGGAAAAGGAGTTATAGATATGAAATGGAAGAGAATGAGTAACATCCTGTCTCCTGAATTTGAATCAGAAGTATCAGTATGCTTCATGAGGCATCTTATCTTAAAAATTATATAAATTCACATATGCACACAGACAAACATACACACACCTTGTAGTTGTGTACTCTGAAAGAGTCTTAACAAAAACAGAAAACCTTAATCTGATTAACACTCTAAACACAATGACCAATTTATAGGCAAAAAAGACACGTGTGTCGGGCACAATTGCTCATGCCTGTAATCCCAGCACTTTGGGAAGCTGAGATGGGCAGATAACCTGAGGTCAGGAGTTCGATACCAGCCTGGCCAACGTGGTAAAACCCCGTATCTACTAAAAATACAAAAAGTAGCTAGGTGTGATGATGGTTGCCTGTAATCCCAGCTACTCAGGAGGCTGAGGCAGGAGAATCACTTGAACTCGGGAGGCAGAGGTTGCAGTGAGCTGAGATTATGCCATTACATTCCAGCCTGGGCATGAGTGAAACTCCATCTCAAAAAAAAAAAAAAAGAAAGAAGAAAGAAAGAAAGAAAGAAAGAGACTTGTTTGTTAACCTATACCATAGGAATGTAATTAGCAAAATCCAAACTATGGGAAGCAATACAAATTAATCATTCCAAATGTTTCAGTAAAAACTTGCAAGAGAGAAAAAAGAGATGCAGGGGAAATCTACAGATTTAAAGATACTCTTTTTTTTGACAAGGTTTCTCCATGTTGGTCAGGCTGGTCTCAAACTCCCGACCTCAGGTTATCCACCCTCCTCTGCCTCCCGAAGTGCTGCTGGATTACAGGCATGAGTCACGGTGCCTGGCTTAAAGAGACTCTTAACAGCAGCTGGTACTAACTATAACATCTACGGAGACTATATAAATTTTCTATGCTATGCAACAAATCGCTACATAATTAGCGTTTTTTTTTTTAAGTGACAAGGTCACGAGGCTGGGGTGCCATGGAGCAGTCACAGCTCACTGCAGCCTTGAACTCCTGGACTCAAGCCATCCTCTTGCCTCAGCCTCCTGAGTAGCTGGGACTACAGGCACACACCATCACACCAAATTCAACAGCTTCAAATAAGGCTCATTGTTAGCTCACAATTGGGTAGGTCTGTAATGGATTGAATTGTGACTTGTTCCCCCACCAAATTCATATGTTGAAGTTCCAGCTGCCACCACCTCAGAATGTCATCTTATCTGGAGATAAGGTCCTCTCAGAGGTGAACAAGTTAAAATGAAGACATCAGGCTGGGCCATGTTCCAATATGACAGGTGTCCTTACGAAAGAGGGAAATTTGCATATACACATCCAGAGAGAACATCAAATAGAAATAACGTGGTTATTTATTTATTCAGATGAAGTTCCACTCTTGCTGCTTCGGGTGGAGTGCAACAAGGCCACGTCGGCTCACTGCAACCTCCAGGTTCAAGCAATCTCCTGTCTCAGCCTCTCGAGTAGCTGGGATCACAGGTGCCCACCACTATGCCCGGCTAATTTTTGTATTTTCAGTAGAGACAGGGTTTCACAACGTTGGCCAGGCTGGTCTCGAACTCCTGACCTCAGGTGATCTGCCCACCTTGGCCTCTTGAAGTGCTGGGATTACAGGCGTGGGCCTCTCTCTGTGTTTTCACATCATCTTTCCTCTGTATGTGTCTCTGTGTCCAATTTCCCCTTTTTGTAAGGACACCAGTATTACTGGATTGAGGCCCACCCTGATAACTTCATTATAACTTGATGACCTCTGTTGAAGTTTTGTTTTCAGGCTGGCCAAGGTGGCTCATGCCTGTAATCCCAGCACTTTGGGAGGCAGGCTGTTCCGGGCCAAGGGAGCAGGAAGTGCAGAGGCCAGAGGGGAAGGTCCCTGGTGTCCCTGAAACTGTATGCAGCCGCCAGGGCTCTGGGGCAGAGTCAGCCAATGGAGGTGCAGGAGATGGGTCAGGGCCACCATGCCAAGTCAGGCATAGGCCACAAAGAGACGTGCAGGCCATCAGGACATGACCTTCGCACTGTGTGAAATGGAAGCCATTGGATGGTTTTGAGCAGAACAATGTGTGAGCATCATTCTAACTGGATCCCCTGTCTGGGAGGTAAGCGGGCCAAGGGAGCCAGAGCAGGGGTGTTGTTTGGACCAGTGGGGGTGCCAAGGTGGTCAGGTTCAGAATCTATTGTGTGTGTGTGTGTGTGTGTGTGTGTGTGTGTGTGAGAGAGAGAGAGAGAGATGGAGTCTTCCCCTGTTGCCCAGGCTGGACTGCAGTGGCAAGATCTTGGCTCACTGCAACCTCTGCCTCCTGGGTTCAAGCCATTCTCCTGCCTCAGCCTCTTGAGTAGCTGGGATTACAGGCACCTGCCACCATGCCCAGCTAATTTCTTCTGCATTTTTAGTAGAGATGGGGTTTCATCATGTTGGCCAGGCTGGTTTCAAACTGCTGACCTCAAGTGATCCACCCTCCTCGGCTCCCCAAAGTACTGGGATTACAAAGGTGAACCACAGAGCCTGGCCCAGAATCCAATTTGAAGTGGAGTCAACAGGATTTGCTGATGGGTGTTATGAGAGTGGGAGCAGTCAGGGATGACCCAAGAGCGTTGGCCCCAGGAGCTGGAGGAAGTGGTATCCAGGAGCTGTGGACACAGCCAGAGCTGGCTTTGTTGACTGTTTTCTCTAATGCTGATCAGCCACTGACCTACTCTTCCTGAAGGTACATTGATATATCACACTGAGGGCCCGCGGGCTTTGCCGGTCTGAGATCAAGTGCCCTTTCTCTTGAAGTGTTTGCATAATCTCTGCTTTAATGCACGGTAGGTGGTGTGCACATAGAGTTTCGCTTTCAGGAGGAAATTTATTCCACAACTGTAGCTGCACGTCTGCTCAAAGATATTAACTTGCTGTGTTACTGACTCTTGGCATTCCTTATGACCGTATGGCTTTGAACTTCATCTGAAGCTTCTACACTCTGTGGCTTTTTTTTTTTTTTTTTTTTGGTGGAGTTTTACTCTTGTTGCCCTGGCTGGAGTGCAATGGTGCCATCTTGGCTCACTGCAACCTCCACCTCCTGGGTTCAAGCAATTCTCCTGCCTCAGCCTCCAGAGTAGCTGGGATTACAGGCATGCACCACCACACCTGGCTAATTTTTGTATTTTTAGTAGAGATGGGGTTTCACCGTATTGACCAGGCTGCTCTCAAACTCCTGACCTTGTGATCCACCTGCCTTGGCCTCCCAAACTGCTGGGATTACAGGCGTGAGCCACCACAACCGACTATATGAATTGTATTTTACCCAACCTACCCAGAACATTTTTTTTTTCTTGAGACAGAGTCTTGCTCAGCTGCCCTGGCTGGAGTGCAGTGGCATGATCTCAGCTCACTGCATTCTCCACCTCCTGGGTTCAAGCAGTTCTCCTGCCTCAGCCTCCTGAGTAGCTGGGATTATAGACACCCACCATCCTGCCCAGCTAATTTTTCTATTTTAGTAGACACAGGGTTTCACTATGTTGGCCAGGAGGGTCTTGAACTCCTGACCTCAGGGGATCCGCCCTCCTCAAAAATACTATCTTTTTAACATGCAATCAATATGAAAAGTATTGGAATGCTTTACATCTTTTTTTCCCTTTACACCAAGCCTTCGAAATCTGGTATTTTATACTTACAGCACATCTCCATTCGGACCAACCACATTTCTTTTCTTTGGAGTTTCACTCTTGTTGTCCAGGCTGGAGTGCAATGGCGAAATCTTGGCTCACTGCAACCTCCACGTCCCTGGTTAAGTGATTCTCCTGCCTCAGCCTCCAGAGTAGCTGGGATTACAGGCATGTGCCATCATGCCTTGCTAATTTTGTATTTTCAGTAGAGATGGGGTTTCTCCATGTTGGTCAGGGTGGTCTTGAACTCCCAACCTCAGGTGATCCACCTCCCTCGGCCTCCCGAAGTGCTGGGAGTACAAGCATAAGCCACTGTGCCCGGCCAGACCAACTACATTTCACAACTTAACGGCCACACGTGGCTAACTGCCACTGTTTAGCACGGTGTATTTCCAGGTACTGAGCTATCCCCACAGTGGTCATGCACAATCAGCATCCGTCTCAGCTGGAAGCTTCTTTGCAATGCAGAATCCCAGACCTACTCAGCCAGAATCTGCTTTTTAACAAGATACTCAAGTAATTTACACACAGGTTAAAATGTGAGATGCATGGGCCGATGGCCGTTGTTTTGCTCGTTCTGGAAAGTATGCTTGTGTTTTTCAGACTGCGTGTCTTCATTTTGGCTCTGAAAGCACAGTCACTTCCACTGTGATGGCATCTGTATTAGAGTCCTCCAGGGAAGCAGAACCAATGGGATATATAGAGAGAGACATACAGGCAGAGGTTTATTTATTTATTGAGACATGTTCTTGCTCTGTTGCCCAGGCTGGAGTACAGTAAGGCAGTCATGGCTCACTTCAGCCTCCACCTCCCAGGCTCAGGCAATTCTCCTGCCTCAGCCTCCTCACTAGCTGGGACCACAGTATGTGCCAACATGCCTGGCTAATTTTTACAAATTATTTGTAGAGGCTGTGTATGGTGGCTCACACCTAAAATACCAGCATTTTGGGAGGCCAAGGCTATCAGATTGCCTGAGGTCAGGAGTTCAAGATCAATCTGGCCAACATGGTGAAACCCTGTCTGTACTAAAAATCCAAAAAAAAATACCCAGACGTGGTGGCATAAGCCTATAATCCCAGCTACTTGGCAGGCTGAGGCGGGGAATTACTTGAACCAGGGAGGTGGAGGTTGCAGTGAGCCAAGATCCTGCCACTGCATTCCAACTTGGGTGACATAGTGAGACTCCATCTCAGAAAAACAAAATCATTTTCCCGTTCTCCTGTTACGCAGGCTGGTCCAAACTCCTGGGCTCAAGGGACCCTCCTGCCTCGGCCTCCCAAAGTGCTGCATTCCAGGCATGAGCCACCACGCCCAGCCACCGAAATGATACTCTAATAAAGTTTAAAGACAAGGCAAAGAACTCCGCAAAACATGCACCCTATGCCCCAAAGACAACTCTCAAAAGTTCGGTCAGTGACATTGCCGCTGACTTCACTGCAAAGCCTCCCTGGGCTCCTTGGAAGGACCGGGCCTGTGCACGTGAGCATGCCAGCCCCTCTTGGTAGGTGGCCTATGTTTCTCGGTCACTGTAGGGCTGTGGCCCTGGCAGGGGCCAGGGGCATCCACTGTTCTGCAAGCCTGGGAGAGACGTGGTGCCCTCGGTATGGAGCAAAGATCCCCCCGTGTTTAGGGCTGCTGCTTCCTTGGACAAACGGTGAAGAGAGATGCTCAGGGGAGGTGGGTTGGGGGTGGGCATGAGTCCCATCTCGCTCCCAGGCCTTCACCCAGCGTCCCACACATTGGGACTCCTACTGTGATCCGTGCCACTGCCACCACGACTGCGCATTAGCTCGAGTGTGTAGCGCCGTCCCCCCATCAGCCTCTGATTTCCTTCAGATCCGCTGCTTCCGGCTGAAGAGCCTTCTCATACTTCATGGGGAGGCCCCTGGAAAGGATTGTAAAAACAACAGACTAGCTCCATCCACCGAGATGGCGGCATGGGTGAGCACCAGGCCCACCACAGCCCGAGCATCAGGAGGACAGCAGGCAGGACGGGCTGGGGCCTTTCAGCTGTGTGGAGGAATAAGACCCGCTGACACCAGGACTGGTGCCCAGCTGGGACACTGGCTGCCAGCCAGAGAATGCGCACTGCTGGGATGCGAGTCTGTGTGAGTAATCCGTTGCAAGGCGGTAGCATCCTACTTTAGGGCCCCTTCTAGACGGCCCAGACCAATCTTGCAGTTGGTATTATTATTTACTTTTGTAGAGATGGGGTCTTGCTATGTTGCCTAGGCTAGGTCTTGAACTCCTGCCCTCAAGCAATCCTCCCCCCTTGGCCTTCCCAAGTGCCGGGATTACTGACATGAGTCACCACACCTGGCCTGTTACTTTTATTTTTTACTTTTTGGGATGGAATCTTGCTCTGTTGCCCAGGCTAGAGTGCAGTGGCACAATCTCAGCTCACTGCAATCTCCGCCTCCCAGGTTCAAGCAATTCTCCTGCCTCAGCCTCCTGTGTAGCTGGGATTACAGACACATGCCACCATGCCCAGCTAATTTTTTGTATTTTTAATAGAGATGGGGTTTCACCACGTTGACCAGGATGGTCTCGATATCTTGACCTTGTGATCCAGCTGCCTCAGCCTCCCAAAGTGCCAGGATTACAGGCGTGAGCCACTGCACCCTGCAAGTAATTGTGATTTTCAAATTTTATCATCCCCAGTGGCCAGATAACTGAATTCTTGGTGTAGGGAAAAGGAGTTACAGAGGTGAAATGGAAGAGAATGAGTAACATCCTGTCTCCTGAATTTGAATCAGAAGTATCAGTATGCTTCATGAGGCATCTTATCTTAAAAATTATATAAATTCACATATACACACAGACACACACACACCTTGCAGTTGTGTACTCTGAAAGAGTCTTTAAAAAAACAGAAAACCTTAATCTGATTAACACTCTAGACGAAACGACCAATTTATAGGAAAAAAAGACACGTGTGTCAGGCGCAATTGCTCATGCCTGTAATCCCAGCACTTTGGGAAGCTGAGATGGGCAGATAACCTGAGGTCAGGAGTTTGATACCAGCCTGGCCAACGTGGTAAAACCCCGTATCTACTAAAAATACAAAAAGTAGCTAGGTGTGATGATGGTTGCCTGTAATCCCAGCTACTCAGGAGGCTGAGGCAGGAGAATCACTTGAACTCGGGAGGCAGGGGTTGCAGTGAGCTGAGATTATGCCATTACATTCCAACCTGGGCATGAGTGAAACTCCATCTCAAAAAAAAAGAAAGAAAGAAAGAGACTCGTTTGTTAATCTATACCATAGGAACGTAATTAGCAAAATCCAAACTATGGGAAGCAATACAAATTAACCATTCCAAATGTTTCAGTAAAAACTTGCAAGAGAGAAAAAAGAGATGCAGGGGAAATCTACAGATTTAAAGATACTCTTTTTTTTGACAAGGTTTCTCCATGTTGGTCAGGCTGGTCTCAAACTCCCGACCTCAGGTTATCCACCCTCCTCTGCCTCCCGAAGTGCTGCTGGATTACAGGCATGAGTCACGGTGCCTGGCTTAAAGAGACTCTTAACAGCAGCTGGTACTAACTATAACATCTACGGAGACTATATTAATTTTCTATGCTATGCAACAAATCGCTACAAAATTAGCGTTTTTTTTTTTTTAAGTGACAAGGTCACGAGGCTGGGGTGCCATGGAGCAGTCACAGCTCACTGCAGCCTTGAACTCCTGGACTCAAGCCATCCTCTTGCCTCAGCCTCCTGAGTAGCTGGGACTACAGGCACACACCATCACACCAAATTCAACAGCTTCAAATAAGGCTCATTGTTAGCTCACAATTGGGTAGGTCTGTAATGGATTGAATTGTGACTTGTTCCCCCACCAAATTCATATGTTGAAGTTCCAGCTGCCACCACCTCAGAATGTCATCTTATCTGGAGATAAGGTCCTCTCAGAGGTGAACAAGTTAAAATGAAGACATCAGGCTGGGCCATGTTCCAATATGACAGGTGTCCTTACGAAAGAGGGAAATTTGCATATACACATCCAGAGAGAACATCAAATAGGAATAATGTGGTTATTTATTTATTTAGATGAAGTTCCACTCTTGCTGCTTCGGGTGGAGTGCAACAAGGCCACGTCGGCTCACTGCAACCTCCAGGTTCAAGCAATCTCCTGTCTCAGCCTCTCGAGTAGCTGGGATCACAGGTGCCCACCACTATGCCCGGCTAATTTTTGTATTTTCAGTAGAGACAGGGTTTCACAACGTTGGCCAGGCTGGTCTCGAACTCCTGACCTCAGGTGATCTGCCCACCTTGGCCTCTTGAAGTGCTGGGATTACAGGCGTGGGCCTCTCTCTGTGTTTTCACATCATCTTTCCTCTGTGTGTGTCTCTCTGTCCAATTTCCCCTTTTTGTAAGGACACCAGTATTACTGGATTGAGGCCCACCCTGATAACTTCATTATAACTTGATGACCTCTGTCGAAGTTTTATTTTCAGGCTGGCCGAGGTGGCTCATGCCTGTAATCCCAGCACTTTGGGAGGCCGAGGCAGGTGGATCACCTGAGGTCAGGAATTGGAGACCAGCCTGATCAATGTGCAGAAACTCTGTCTCTTAAAACCAAACCAAAACAAAAATTATTTAAAAATTGTTAAAATTAGTTTAAAAATGATTAAAAACACTGCATAAAATTACCTTCAGGTGGCTGGGCGCTGCGGCTCATGCCTGTAATCCCAGCGCTTTGGGAGACAGGCCAAGGGAGCAGGAAGTGCAGAGGCCAGAGGGGAAGGTCCCTGGTGTCCCTGAAACTGTATGCAGCCGCCAGGGCTCTGGGGCAGAGTCAGCCAATGGAGGTGCAGGAGATGGGTCAGGGCCACCATGCCGAGTCAGGCATAGGCCACAAAGAGACGTGCAGGCCATCAGGACGTGACCTTTACCCTGTGTGAAATGGAAGCCATTTGATGGTTTTGAGCAGAACAATGTGTGAGCATCATTCTAACTGGATCCCCTGTCCGGGAGGTAAGTGGGCCGAGGGGAGCCAGAGCAGGGGTGTTGTTTGGACCAGTGGGGGTGCCAAGGTGGTCAGGTTCAGAATCTATTGTGTGTGTGTGTTTGTGTGTGTGTGTGTGTGTGTGAGAGATGGAGTCTTCCCCTGTTGCCCAGGCTGGACTGCAGTGGCAAGATCTTGGCTCACTGCAACCTCTGCCTCCTGGGTTCAAGCCATTCTCCTGCCTCAGCCTCTTGAGTAGCTGGGATTACAGGCACCTGCCATCATGCCCAGCTAATTTCTTCTGCATTTTTAGTAGAGACAGGGTTTCATCATGTTGGCCAGGCTGGTTTCAAACTGCTGACCTCAAGTGATCCACCCTCCTCGGCTCCCCAAAGTACTGGGATTACAAAGGTGACAAAGGTGAACCACAGAGCCTGGCCCAGAATCCAATTTGAAGTGGAGTCAACAGGATTTGCTGATGGGTGTTATGAGAGTGGGAGCAGTCAGGGATGACCCAAGAGCGTTGGCCCCAGGAGCTGGAGGAAGTGGTATCCAGGAGCTGTGGACACAGCCAGAGCTGGCTTTGTTGACTGTTTTCTCTAATGCTGATCAGCCACTGACCTACTCTTCCTGAAGGTACATTGATATATCACACTGAGGGCCCGCGGGCTTTGCCGGTCTGAGATCAAGTGCCCTTTCTCTTGAAGTGTTTGCATAATCTCTGCTTTAATGCACTGTAGGTGGTATGCACATAGAGTTTCGCTTTCAGGAGGAAATTTATTCCACAACTGTAGCTGCACGTCTGCTCAAAGATATTAACTTGCTGTGTTACTGACTCTTGGCATTCCTTATGACCGTATGGCTTTGAACTTCATCTGAAGCTTCTACACTCTGTGGCTTTTTTTTTTTTTTTTTTTTTTTTTGGTGGAGTTTTACTCTTGTTGCCCTGGCTGGAGTGCAATGGTGCCATCTTGGCTCACTGCAACCTCCACCTCCTGGGTTCAAGCAATTCTCCTGCCTCAGCCTCCAGAGTAGCTGGGATTACAGGCATGCACCACCACACCTGGCTAATTTTTGTATTTTTAGTAGAGATGGGGTTTCACCGTATTGACCAGGCTGCTCTCAAACTCCTGACCTTGTGATCCACCTGCCTTGGCCTCCCAAACTGCTGGGATTACAGGCGTGAGCCACCACAACCGACTATATGAATTGTATTTTACCCAACCTACCCAGAACATTTTTTTTTTCTTGAGACAGAGTCTTGCTCAGCTGCCCTGGCTGGAGTGCAGTGGCATGATCTCAGCTCACTGCATTCTCCACCTCCTGGGTTCAAGCAGTTCTCCTGCCTCAGCCTCCTGAGTAGCTGGGATTATAGACACCCACCATCCTGCCCAGCTAATTTTTCTATTTTAGTAGACACAGGGTTTCACTATGTTGGCCAGGAGGGTCTTGAACTCCTGACCTCAGGGGATCCGCCCTCCTCAAAAATACTATCTTTTTAACATGCAATCAATATGAAAAGTATTGGAATGCTTTACATCTTTTTTTCCCTTTACACCAAGCCTTCGAAATCTGGTATTTTATACTTACAGCACATCTCCATTCGGACCAACCACATTTCTTTTCTTTGGAGTTTCACTCTTGTTGTCCAGGCTGGAGTGCAATGGCGAAATCTTGGCTCACTGCAACCTCCACGTCCCTGGTTAAGTGATTCTCCTGCCTCAGCCTCCAGAGTAGCTGGGATTACAGGCATGTGCCATCATGCCTTGCTAATTTTGTATTTTCAGTAGAGATGGGGTTTCTCCATGTTGGTCAGGGTGGTCTTGAACTCCCAACCTCAGGTGATCCACCTCCCTCGGCCTCCCGAAGTGCTGGGAGTACAAGCATAAGCCACTGTGCCCGGCCAGACCAACTACATTTCACAACTTAACGGCCACACGTGGCTAACTGCCACTGTTTAGCACGGTGTATTTCCAGGTACTGAGCTATCCCCACAGTGGTCATGCACAATCAGCGTCCGTCTCAGCTGGAAGCTTCTTTGCAATGCAGAATCCCAGACCTACTCAGCCAGAATCTGCTTTTTAACAAGATACTCAAGTAATTTACACACAGGTTAAAATGTGAGATGCATGGGTAGATGGCCGTTGTTTTGTTCATTCTGGAAAGTATGCTTGTGTTTTTCAGACTGCGTGTCTTCATTTTGGCTCTGAAAGCACAGTCACTTCCACTGTGATGGCATCTGTATTAGAGTCCTCCAGGGAAGCAGAACCAATGGGATATATAGAGAGAGACATACAGGCAGAGGTTTATTTATTTATTGAGACATGTTCTTGCTCTGTTGCCCAGGCTGGAGTACAGTAAGGCAGTCATGGCTCACTTCAGCCTCCACCTCCCAGGCTCAGGCAATTCTCCTGCCTCAGCCTCCTCACTAGCTGGGACCACAGTATGTGCCAACATGCCTGGCTAATTTTTACAAATTATTTGTAGAGGGTGGGTATGGTGGCTCACGCCTAAAATACCAGCATTTTGGGAGGCCAAGGCTATCAGATTGCCTGAGGTCAGGAGTTCAAGATCAATCTGGCCAACATGGTGAAACCCTGTCTGTACTAAAAATCCAAAAAAAATACCCAGACGTGGTGGCATAAGCCTATAATCCCAGCTACTTGGCAGGCTGAGGCGGGGGAATTACTTGAACCAGGAAGGTGAAGGTTGCAGTGAGCCAAGATCCTGCCACTGCATTCCAACTTGGGTGACATAGTGAGACTCCATCTCAGAAAAACAAAATCATTTTCCCGTTCTCCTGTTACGCAGGCTGGTCCAAACTCCTGGGCTCAAGGGACCCTCCTGCCTCGGCCTCCCAAAATGCTGCATTCCAGGCATGAGCCACCACGCCTGGCCACCGAAATGATACTCTAATAAAGTTTAAAGACAAGGCAAAGAACTCCGCAAAACATGCACCCTATGCCCCAAAGACAACTCTCAAAAGTTCGGTCAGTGACATTGCCGCTGACTTCACTGCAAAGCCTCCCTGGGCTCCTTGGAAGGACCGGGCCTGTGCAGGTGAGCACGCCAGCCCCTCTTGGTAGGTGGCCTATGTTTCTCGGTCACTGTAGGGCTGTGGCCCTGGCAGGGGCCAGTGGCGTCCACTGTTCTGCGAGCCTGGGAGAGACGTGGTGCCCTCGGTATGGAGCAAAGATCCCCCCGTGTTTAGGGCTGCTGCTTCCTTGGACAAACGGTGAAGAGAGATGCTCAGGGGAGGTGGGTTGGGGTGGGCATGAGTCCCATCTCGCTCCCAGGCCTTCACCCAGCATCCCACACACTGGGACTCCTACTGTGATCCGTGTCACTGCCACCACGACTGCGCATTAGCTCGAGTGTTTAGCGCCGTCCCCCATCAGCCTCTGATTTCCTTCAGATCCGCTGCTTCCGGCTGAAGAGCCTTTTCATACTTCATGGGGAGGCCTCTGGAAAGGATTGTAAAAACAACAGACTAGCTCTGTCCACCGAGATGGCGGCATGGGTGAGCACCAGGCCCACCACAGCCCGAGCATCAGGAGGACAGCAGGCAGGACGGGCTGGGGCCTTTCAGCTGTGTGGAGGAATAAGACCCGCTGACACCAGGACTGGTGCCCAGCTGGGACACTGGCTGCCAGCCAGAGAATGCGCACTGCTGGGATGCGAGTCTTTGTGTGAGTAATCCGTTGCAAGGCGGTAGCATCCTACTTTAGGGCCCCTTCTAGACGGCCCAGACCAATCTTGCAGTTGGTATTATTATTTATTTTTGTAGAGATGGGGTCTTGCTATGTTGCCTAGGCTAGGTCTTGAACTCCTGCCCTCAAGCAATCCTCCCCCCTTGGCCTTCCCAAGTGCCGGGATTACTGACATGAGTCACCACACCTGGCCTGTTATTTTTATTTTTTACTTTTTGGGATGGAATCTTGCTCTGTTGCCCAGGCTAGAGTGCAGTGGCACAATCTCAGCTCACTGCAATCTCCGCCTCCCGGGTTCAAGCAATTCTCCTGCCTCAGCCTCCCGAGTAGCTGGGACTACAGGCACCCACCACCATGCTCAGCTAATTTTTGTATTTTTAGTAGAGACAGGGTTTCACCATGTTGGCCTGGCTGGTCTTGAACTCCTGACCTCAGGTGATCTGCCCATCTTGGCCTCCTAAAGTGCTGGGATTGCAAGTGTGAGCCACCATGCCTGGTCCTGTTATATTATTATTATTTTATTTTTTTGAAACAGAATCTCGCTGTGTCACCCAGGCTGGAGTGCAGTGGTGTAATCTCAGCTCACAGTAACCTTGCCTCCCAGGTTCAAATGATTCTTCTTCCTCACAGGCATGTGCCATCACGCCTGACTAATTTTTGTATTTTCAGTGGAGACTGGGGTTTTGCCATGTTGGCCAGGCTTGTTTTGAACTCCTGACCTTCGGTGATCCTCCTGCCTCAGCCTCCCACAGTGGTGGGATTACAGGCGTAAGCCACCGCGCCCGGCCTGTTATTGTTATTTTTTTAAATAGTGCTTATCCATATAAAGCTTTACAAGGAAGGTTGAAGGCATCTGTTTGATCCTAAACATCCTGCTCCCTTACTGCTGTCCCCATGGAGGGTTTGTGACTCTGCTTTCAACATATTAATTCTTTTCCCACCACACAGCTTTGGAAAGGACAAATGGAGGCTGTTAGTATGTTCTTCTCCCAAAAGGTACCTACAAAATCCGACACAGACCACAAGCAATGGGGAGTGAACTTTTACTGAAGACTTGCTCAGCGGCTGGTGGGCCTCGTTTTCCTGTTAAAGACAGCTCCTCACGTGCCTTCCTTAGGCACCAGGGCAAGTGTGTCCTTTACAATCCCTGCAGCCAGCCAAGGTTGGACCCGGGGTGCTGGTTTCACAACAAGCCTAGGTGTCAGTAGAGGCACGTACATGGACAGCAGGATAGGCGTTTTCCTCTCTCCTTTGCTCCTGGAAAACTGCCTCAGCTCCAAATAGGATATTACAAATATATTAATGAGTAAATAAAAGATAGGAAAGCTGGGCACCTTGGCTTACGCCTGTAATCCCAGCACTTTGGGAGGCCGAGGCGGGCAGATCACAAGGTCAAGAGATCGAGACCAACCTGGCCAACATGGTGAAACCTCGTCTCTATTAAAAATACAAAAAATTAGCTGGGTGTGGTCGTGAGTGCCTGTAATCCCAGCCACTCGGGAGGCTGAGGCAGGAGAATTGCTGGAACCCCGGAGGTGGAGGTTGCAGTGAGCTGAAATTGCACCACTCCACTCCAGCCTAGAGACAGACTCTGTCTCAAAAAAAAAAAATTAGCTAGGCATAATGGTGGGCTCCTGTAATCCCAGCTAATCAGGAGGCTGAGGCAGGAGAATTGCTTGAACCCGGGAGATGGAGGTTACAGTGAGCCGAGATCATGCCACTGCACCCCAGCTTAGGCAACAGAGTGACACTTCATCTCAAAAAAAAAAAAAAAAAGATAGGAAATAGGCAACACTGTCAATGTCTGGCAAACGTTCTCCCAGCACTGAGGGAGACTGAAGGGGAAGATCGCTTGAGCCCAGGATTTTGAGGCTGCAGTGAGCCATGATCGGACCACTGCACTACAATATGGGTGACAGAATAAGACCCTATCTCTGAAAAAGAACGAAAGAAAGAAGGAACAGGTAGATACGTGTTCAGGACGAATGCCTATCGATGGCACTATTCATGCCTTGTGGCAGGGTTAGAAGTTTTCAGTTCCCACTCTCAGTAGCTTCCATCTTTCCATCTTTCTTCACACCACCACACTGGCTATCAAAGTCTTTTTTTCTGTGTGTGAGATGGAGTTTGGCTCTTGTTGACCAGTCTGGAGTGCAATGGTGCAATCTTGGCTCACTGCAGCCTCTGCCTCCCGGGTTCAAGTGACTCTCCTGCCTCAGTCTCCTTAGTAGCTGGGATTACAGGCCTGCACCACTATGCCTGGGTAATTTTTGTATTTTCAGTAGAGACGGGATTTCACTGTGTTGGTCAGGAACCTCAGCCTCCCAAAATGCTGGGATTCCAGGCGTCAGCCACTGTGCCCAGCCAAAGTCATTTGTATGTTTATTATTACTTTTTTCTTTAATTTTAGAGACAGGGTCTTGCTACACTGCCTAGGCTGGAGTGCAATGGCTATTCACAGGCACGATCCCAGCGCACTGCAGCCTTGGACTCCCGGCGTTGAGTGACCCCCCACCTGAGCCTCCCAAGTAGCTGGAACTATAGGCCCATGCCACTGTGCCCAGCTTGTCTGTTTTCTAGGGCCATCGCTTCATTTAGCAAAACTGTGTTGAGTGCCAGTGGAGCAGCAGTGCACCTGCCCATGAGGCCCATGGTGTGAGGCCAAGTCTAAACAGAAAGGGAGAGTCATTTAATGGACTTTTATGAAGTGAGGCCCAAGGTTTGAACAGAATGCACTGGTGAAAGGTTAGATCACAGAGCCCAGTGTGCGTTGAACTCTTAACCTTGTGGAGCAAGAAATGAAGGCCTCCAGATATGAAATGATTTGCCGGGTGTCTCTTGTCTGCAACCTATACATTTTTACTTTAGACCATGCTATTGTATTCTTGATTTAATTTTTTTAAAAAGACTATTTTGGGGGAGTTTTAGGTTTACAGCAAAATTGAGAGGAAGGTACATTTATATGATTTTTAAACCTTGGAGGTAGAGAATTTTTTTTTTTAAAAAAGAGTCTTGCTCTGTCACCCAGGCTGGAGTGCAGTGGCACAATCCCAGCTCACTGCAACCTTTGCCTCCTGGGTTCCAGTGATTCTCCTGCCTCAGACTCCCCAGTAGCTGGGACTACAGGTGTACACCATCATGCCCAGCTAATTTTTGTATTTTTAGTAGTGATGGGGCTTCACCATGTTGGCTAGCCTGGTCTCGAACTCCTAACTTCAAGTGATTCACCTGCGTTGGCCTCCCAAAGTTTTGGGATTACAGGTATGAGCCACCGTGCCCAGCCTCAAAGGTAATAATTTTATTTATTTATTTATTTTTGGACAGAGTCTCACTCTGTCACCCAGGCTGGAGGGCAGTGTCGCAATTGTGGCTCACTGCAACTTCCATCTCCTGGGTTCAAGTTATTCTCCTGCCTCAGCCTCCTGAGTAACTGGGATTACAGGCACACGCCACCACGCCCGGCTAATTTTTGCATTTTTAGTAGAGACGGGGTTTCACTCTGTTGACCAGGCTGGTTTCAAACTCCTGACCTCAAGTGATCCACCCACCTGGGCCTCCCAAAGTGCTTGGACTACAGGCCACGGCACCCTGCACTCGAAGGTAATAATTTTAAATTGTTGAGAGTTGGTCCACATTTTCTGTGATTACACAATTATTAGGCATAAAGATTCTGGAAAACGTTTCTTGTGCATGTGAATATTTAAAAAACTTTAAAACCCACAGATGCCTTGTATAGGCTGTATACTGTGCATGGCGTGAGTGGGCTTAATCGTTTTCTTTCAAAGGTGCTGAGCAAATATTTTGCAACTGGTAGTGGGAAGCTCAGTTAGCCTCGGTGAGAATCTCGGTCTTAATTCACTTTGGGAGGCTGAGGCAGACGGATTAACTAAGGTCAGGAGTTCGAGACCAGCCTGGCCAACGTGGTGAAACACCGCCTCTACTAAAAATACACAAAACAGGCCGGGCGCGGTGGCTCACGCCTATAATCCCAGCACTTTGGGAGGCCAAGGTGGGTGGATCACGAGGTCAAGAGATTGAGACCATCCTGGTCAACAAGGTGAAACCCCGTCTCTACTAAAAATACAAAAATTAGCTGGGCATGATGGTGCATGCCTGTAGTCCCAGCTACTCGGGAGGCTGAGGCAGGAGAATTGCTTGAACCCAGGAGGCGGAGGTTGTGGTGAGCCGAGATTGTGCCATTGCACTCGGTCTGGGTAACAACAGCGAAACTCTGTCTCAAAAAAAAAAAAAAAAATACACAAATCACCCAATGTGGTGGTGCACACCTGTCATCCCAGCTACTTGGGAGACTGAGGCATGAGAATTGCTTGAACCCATGAGGTGGAGGTTGCAGCGAGCCTCCATTGCACCCCAGCCTGGGCTACTGAGCAAGACTGTCTCCAGAAGAAGATAAAGAAGAATAAAAGAAAGAAAGAAAAAAAAAACAGAAAGGGAAATGAGCCATCTCAGAGAACAACTGTGTTTTGTGAGCAGGTCCCAACAATGTCACCGCTGGGAGCGGGTGCCGCCCACCCGGCCCCTGCAGAGCCGGGGAGCTGAGAGAGGAAGGGGCGCACTTGCCGGCGGGCGGAGGGGGGGGCCGGGATGCAGGTGCGGGGCCTCATTTTCTTTCCTTGCAAAGCGAATTCCCCAAAGGGTTCTGCTGCTTTTGCTTGGCAGAGCAAGGGAAAATAAGACATTTTAAATGAATTCCATTGTCTTTCCTGGTGACAGAGCAGCCTCCCCCAGCGTGTCTCCATGTCTCTGTAGCCCTGTAAGAGCAGTCGCTCCCTTCTCCTCTTAAAACGCGGCAATAATGAATAGGAAGAAAAAGTGCTTGTTGCAAAAGGCTGATTATTATAGGTCTCCCAGCATTCTGCATCCACCTGCTGAGGAAATCATGGCTTTGAGTGTGCAGAGATTTATTGCTATGCAAGTTCATTTGCAAGTGTAGAAGATAGGAACAGACTAACGCTGACCTCAGAGGTAAAGACAGTAGAGTGTTTGAAGGGGTGTGGGCATTTCTCCCCCTAATCTCTCCTTCCCATCCCAAGGGCACTAACATCCTGCATCCCTGTGGCTACGCCCTGTGTAGCGCTGTGTAGCCGGCACATTTTCTAGGACTTGAGCTAACGGGAGCTTGGGGTCATTGGCTATTACAAGCGTAATGTGTAGGACAGCCCTCATCCCACAAGATCCGCTGGAGAAGGAAGCCCTTCCAAGACGTGGGTGGCCCTGAGCTTGAGCTTAGCTTGGGCAGGGTGGTAGATTGGAAAGAGAAGTGGAGGCAGGCTGGTCGCCTTCCTCACACACGTGCTGTGGCCTTGAGGAAGCTGTGTAAACTCTCAGGGCCCCAACTACCTCCTTTTCCAAATGGCCAGTGGCCTCCTTGGGCTCCTTGAGTAGGGCCAAAGGCCACAGCAGTGAGGTTTGCTGGTGGGCGATTAAGTTTTAGGGCGTTCAAATCAAAGCACCACACAGTGTGAAATACCATTGCACAGCACAAGCTTGTGTGTACGCCAATTCGTTGGCATAAAGATCAAGGCCAGGCATGGTGGTTCATGCCTGTAATCCCAGCACTTTGGGAGTCTGAGGAGGGTGGATCTCTTGAGCCCAGGAGTTTGAGACCAAAAAATACAGAAATTAGCCAGGCGTGGTGGCAGACACCTATAATGCCAGCTACTCAGGAGGCTGAGGCAGGAGAATTGCTTGAACCTGGAGGCAGAGGTTGCAATGAGCCAAGATCGCGCCACTGCACTCCAGCCTGGGTGACAGAGTGAGACTCCATCACAAATAAAATAAAAAGTTGGCTAATTAGCATACTTCATCTTTGACCTTCATTCCCCCTTGCCACATAACATAATATATTCGAGGGTTCCAGGGATTAGGACACGGACATCTTGGGGGAGGCATCGTCCTGCTTCCACAGTGAGGATGCTACTTTAATCAGGGTGGTCAGGGAGGGCTTCTCTGAGTAGCTGGTATTGAAAGGAAGATCTGTAAGATAAGGACCAACCACATCGAGTGGCAGAAGAGCTTCTCAGGCAGCGGGAGTGCCACGTGCAAACGCCCCAGGTGTGTTTAGGAGCAGGGTGGATCTGGAGAGGCTACAGCACGTGGAGGTTGCAGTGAGCCGAGATCGTATCACTGCACTCCAGCCTGGCAACAGAGCAAGACACTGTCTCAAAAAAAAATCAGAATATTATTTTATCTTATTTTTTAATTGGCACATAATTGTACATATTTGTGGAACACACAGCGATGTTTTGATTCATACAAGGTGTAGTGATCAGATCAAGATCATTAGCATACCCATCTTGTCCATCATCTCTGTCATGTCTTTGTGCTGGAAGCATGAATACCCTCCTTCTAGGTCTGAGAGTTTTTTAAGGATTGCCTTAGATAATGTGGGAGGAGGCTGGGCGCTGTGGCTCTCACCTGTCATCCCAGCTCTTAAGGAGGCAGAGGCTGGAGGATAGCTTGAGCCCAGGAGTTCAAGACCTGCCTGGGCAATATAGGGAGACCCTGTTCTCAAAAAAAAAAAAAAAAAAAAGATGATGTGGGAGGAACCAAACCCGAGGGCAAGAGGCCAGAGGCAGGGAAGCCTCTGAGCGCTCCTAAGACCCCCAAGGACCTTGTTGGTAGACTCAGGAAATCGAGGTTGTCAGCCAGGTGCAGTGGCTCATGCCTGTAATCCCATCACTTTGGGAGACTGAGGAGGGTGAATCACCTTGGGTCAGGAGTTCAAGACCAGCCTGGCCAACATGGTGAAACCCCGTCTCTACTAAACAAAAAAATTAACAAAGCGTGGTGGTGCACACCTGTAGTCCCAGCTACTTGGGAGGCTGAGGCAGGAGAATCACATGAACCAGGGTGGCAGAGGTTGCAGTGAGCTGAGATCATGCCACTGCACTCCAGCCTGGGCAACAGAGCGAGACTCTTGTCTCAAAATAAATAAATAAATAAAATAAGAATGAATGAAATGTTCCTGGAGACTCTGAAATATCTGACAGAAAGGGTCTTGGAGATGCTATTGTTGAACCTAAATAGCAGATAGAGACTCTCTAAAGGAAAATGATATTTAGCTGGGAATGGTCATTGCAGTGGGAATAGGTGTGATATATCGAGGGAGGTGAGGGAAGACAAGAGTTAAAGGAAACCTTAGGAGGGTTTCACGAGTTATTTTGAGACAATTATCCTTGGCTTCAAGGATCAATCACAAGGACAGTTTCAGTCCAGTACGGGACAGGCAGTTGCTGGGCAGGTGCCCTCATAGAAATGTTTTTCCGTGTAAGATTATGGGGGCCTTTGTGTAAAACTGCAGCTTTACAGAGACTTGTGTGACAGTTCTTGTTATCACGCATCCACGCATGAAAGCCTCACGTTCATCCCGGGCTCCATTTGTCAGGGTTTTAACATAACTGACTCCATTTTTATTTTGATGCTCTTTCCATTTCCCCTTTTAATCAAGATCTTTCTCCAAAAACGATGCTGGTCGATCATTCTGTGGTTGGGTTTTGATATCACTTGGTGTTGGGATGAACCAGTCCTAGGCTGGTCTGGTCCCAGGTTAGAGGGAGTCATTGGCAACTATTAGTCAATGTCAAAACCCTTTTAGTCACATTTGAATGATAAGGGAGGTTGGGAGGGGGCTCTCAGGCTAGATCTACCTGGAGTCCATTGTTCTGCTCATTTCTGTTTGTTCTGTATTTTTGGGATCTCCTCTCAAAGCATTGGTCAGCATTATTTTGTTAGGAGTTACACTTCTGCAGAAATCTGACAGGTACAAGGTTTAGAAAGAAAACTACAGAGGCCGGGTGCAGTGGCTCACACTTGTAATTCCAGCACTTTGGGAAGCTGAGGCAGGCAGATCACAAGGTCAGGAGTTCAAGACCAGCCTGGCCAACATAGTGAAACCCTGTCTCTACTAAAAATACAAAAGTTAGCCTTGTGTGGTGGTGCGTGCCTGTAGTCCCAGCTACTTGGGAGACTGCAGCAGAATTCCTTGAACCTGGGAAGTGGAGGTTGCAGTGAGTCGAGATCATGCCATTGCACTCTAGCTTAGGCAACAGAGTGACATTTCGTCTCAAAAAAAGTCTACAAAAGAAAATTAGTCTGGGTGCGGTGGCTCATGCCTATAATCCCAGCACTCTGGGAGGCCAAGGTGGGTAAATCACTTGTGGCCAGGAGTTTGAGACCAGCTTGGCCAACATGGAGAAACCCTATGCAGAAAAAATACAAAAATTAGCAGGGCATGGTGGCACATCCCTATAATCCCAGCTACCTGGGAGGCTGAGGCAGGAGAATCACTTGAACCCAGGAGGCAGAGATTGTGGTGGGCCGAGATCGTGCCACTGCACTCCAGCCTGGGCAAGAGAGCATGACTCTGTCTCGAAAATAAATAAATAGATAAATAAATAAAATGGTAATTCGATAACCCTAGTTTGCTTAGTGGTTTTGAGCTATGAACCTAGACTTAAAGGGAATGCACTGAATAAATCGAATGACCATGGAGCACTAGAAGACACCTGTTGGGACGAAGTGGCTTGTTTCTTATTTTGTGTGTTTGGGTCTCAACTTCCCGGCCTGAACTTTATCCAGGTACAGCATGTGGTATTAGCAATAGCACAGTTTCTCATCCAGCCAACAGATAACACAGAGCGAATTCATCATCTAGTGTCCCATGACTGGGATGAAGTAGAGCAAAGTCAGCAACAGTTCTGTAAGGGATGCTGCCCGTTACCCACTAGGTGGACTACAGGATCTCTTAGGTCAGGTCTGTCAAGTTAGCAGAAGAGGGACAAGAGTCTCATGATGGGGTCTCTTGTGTTGTCTTGGGAAAAGCCACCCACAGCATGAAGCCATTAACTTCTTGTCCTGGTTTGCAGTTAGAACGTCTCTGGTCATGGCATTGGGCACTCTAGAGCTTTCTGTGTGGCCCTTATATCACACACAAGACTCACCCCTTAAAATGCATTTAGTTAGGGCCGGGCACAGTGGCTCATGCCTGTAATCCCAGCACTTTGGGAGGCTGAGGCGGGTGGATCACGAGGTCAAGAGATCAAGACCATCCTGGTCAACATGGTGAAACCCCGTCTCTACTAAAAATACAAAAATTAGCTGGGCATGGTGGCGCGTGCCTGTAGTCCCAGCTACTCGGGAGGCTAAGGCAGGAGAATTGCTTGAACCCAGGAGGCAGAGGTTGTGGTGAGCCGAGATCGTGCCATTGCACTCCAGTCTGGGTAACAAGAGCGAAACTCCATCTCAAAAAAAAAAAAAAAAAGCATTTAGTTTCAGCTTATAGTGCCTTAGGAACACAGCAATTCCCATTCTTAGTATTCCATGGAAGCAAGTTGGATTGGAGGAAACAAAAAGAATTCAGGACCAGCTGGGCGTGGTGGGTCACGCCTGTAATCCCAGCACCCTGTGCATGCCTCAACCAGGGTAAAAAATCTCTATGCAGTATACAGGTAGATGTGCACAAAAATAACTAAAAATGGTCTAGAACCCTTGAACTTGCAAGTCCCCACTCTTGCTAATGGCAAAAGAAAGAGGAAAAAACACCATGAACATGCTCATCAAAGCTAATTTAGTCTCCGGTCTACAAAAACTCCCTTCCTCCTTAACTCGACGCACCAAGATTGAAGTTCAAGTTCCCATCAAGTGTCTCTCCCTGCTCCTTTCTGAGATGCTGTCGGGATGCAGGGGAGCTAAGGCCCCTCCTGGCTCCTGCCTCTCAGCCATGGCCAGGGCGGTTCCTGGGTCTTCTGTCCTGGTGCCCACGAGGTGATACCATCATGCCTTATTCTCAGGCTCCAGCCCAGAGCTCCCAGCCTGGCCTCTGTACCCCAACCTTAATCTTCTGATTCATCAGGGCCTGGGCTGCTTTTCCCACTCCACACTGGAAAGTGTAGGATCTCGGAGGCTGCCTGCCGGCTCACCCTCTAGGCCCTTTCCTGGGCATTTCCAAACCATGCCTGGGCAGCCTGTGCTGCTCTGCCGCCATGCTCACCACAGGCCTTGCCACCACTGTTTTGTGTTTGTTTGAGATGGATTTTGGCTCTTGTTGCCCAGGCTGGAGTGCAATGGCGCAATCTCAGCTCACCACAACCTCCACCTCCTCCTGGGTTCAAGTGATTCCCCTGCCTCAGCCTCCCAAGTAGCTTAAAACTACAGGCATGCACCACCACGCCCGGCTAATGTTTTGTATTTTTGGAAGAGACGGGGTTTTACCATGTTGGTCAGGTGGTCTTGAACTCCTGAACTCAGATAATCCGTCTGCCTCGGCCTTCCAAAGTGCTAGGATTACAGGTGTGAGCCACCGAGCCCAGCCTGCCACCACCTTGGGTTTTAACCCCAAGGAGGGAATCAGGACCCTGGCATCTGATCTCCTGTATCTTCCTACTGATGGGAACTTCCCTAAGTCACATCTCCTGGCCCTGTGCACTGCTTGTAATCCAAGTCCCAGATTCTGTTCTTTACGTCTTAAAGCAGAACCTTTGGAATTTAGAAAATCTCTTTCTTCTCTGAAAGCTCAGTTTCAAGAGTACTAAATCACATGCATTCAGAGCCAGTCTTAATATTTAAAGGTGAAAAAGTCTTTCTCATCACATTCCTATGATGAAAATCATAATTATCCTTGAGGCCAACAGAAGCTTCTGATTGAATTAGAGAAAGAAAAAATATTAATACATTTAAGATAATATCTGTCCAGGTGTGGTGGCTCACACCTGCAATCCCAGCACTTTGGGAGGCCGAGGTGGGTGGATCATTTGAGGTCAGGAGTTCGAGACCAGCCTGGCCAACATGCTGAAACCCCATCTGTACTAAAAATACCAAAAAAAAAAAAAAAAAAAAGTAAGCCAGGCATGGTGGTGCGTGCCTGTAATCCCAGCTACTTGAACACTGAGGCACGAGAATCGCTTGAACGCAGGAGGTGGAGGTTGCGGTGAGCCAAGATCATGCCACTGCACTCCAGCCTGGGAGACAGAGTGAGACCCTGTCTCAAAGGAAAAAAAAACAGAGAGAGTATCTCTCTTTTACATGCAGCATAGCACTTACCACAAACGTATTAGAATTGTTCCATATCTGTCATCCTAAACAGAGAGGAGTTAAAAGGAAGAGCACAAATCATTTTTGTTTTTTTGAGACAGAGTCTCACTGTGTCGTTCAGGCTGGAGTGCAGCGTTGCAATCTCAGCTCACTCCAACTTCTGCCTCCCGGGTTCAAGAAATTCTCCTGCCTCAGCCTCCTGAGTAGCTGGGATTACAGGTGCACACCACCACAGGCGGCTAATTTTTGTATTTTTAGTAGAGACGGGGTTTCACCATGTTTGTCAGGCTGGTCTCAAACTCCTGACCTCGTGGTACACCTGCCTCAGCCTCCCAAAGTGCTGGGATTACAGGCATGGGCCATCGTGCCGAGTGGGTATAAATCTTACTCACTTTTTATGTCAAGTGCCTAAATATTGTGCCTGGCACTTTGTATGCTCACAGAAACTATTGGATAGATGGATAAATGAATGGGTGGGGGGGTAGATGGATGGATGGATGGATATGTGGGTGGGTGAATAGATGGGTAGATGGGTAGGTAGGTGAATGGATGGGTGGGTGGATGAGTGAATAGGTGGGTAGGTGGGTGAATGGCTGGTGGATGAGTGGATGGGTGGATGAGTGAGTTGTTGGCTAGATGGATGGATGGGTGGGGGATGAGTACAAGGGTGGATAGATCAAAAATAAAATGGGGATAAAAAAGATTGGATAGGCCAGGCGCAGTGGCTCACGCCTGTAATCCCAGCACTTTGGGAGGCCAAGGTGGGTGGATCACGAGGTCAAGAGATCGAGACCATCCTGGTCAACAAGGTGAAACCCCGTCTCTACTAAAAATGCAAAAAATTAGCTGGGCATGGTGGCGCATGCTTGTAATCCCAGCTACTCTGGAGGCTGAGGCAGGAGAATTGCCTGAACCCAGGAGGCGGAGGTTGCGGTGAGCCGAGGTCGTGCCATTGTACTCCAGCCTGGGTAACAAGAGCGAAACTCCATCTCAAAAAAAAAAAAAAGAGAGAGAGAGAGAGAGATTGGAGAGAGGCAAAGGAAGAGGTCATATTTTTTTCCTTGATGCCAACAATAAAAACTATTAAAGCATCTCACATGTACCATGACTTGCATCCAGACCACAGGAGACTTCTTGCCAACAGCCATGTGAGTAAACCTCCTTGGAAGATGATCCTCCAGCCCCAGTCAAGCCTTTGGATGAATGCAGCCCCAGTGGACACCTTGACTGTAACCTCATTAAGATCTTGAACCACAACCACCCAGACAAGGCACTCCCAAATTCCTGACCCACAAAAATTGGGTGGGTCAGGAATAATAAAAACATCTATTGCCTTAAACCACGAAGTTTTGGGACACTTTGATACGCATCAATAGATCATTAATATCCCTAGCAAACTTCGACCCATACCTCATTGGCCAAAACTGTGTCTCTTGACCACCCTGAGATACAGAGGAAGCTGGGAACATAATATGATAGTTGTAGGCATTTTAAAAGGACCGTATTATTACCCTGGCAAAATCATGGCTCTATTCACAAGGAAATGGGGTAGAATGGATACTGGCTATGCTGTTGGCAGTAACAGCCAAAGACGGTTGCATTTTAGCCAAACCTCACAGGGTACAAAGGACAGGAAGGGCATTTGGAGCTGAGAAAACAGCCTAACCAAAGCTATGGAGGCAAGAGAGTTCCTAACGGGAGCAGGAAATGGCTCCTAGTAAATTCTGGGTAAATGCTAGCCCATCATTATTAATATACATTAGCAGAGGATTCTGTAGGAAGGATTAGCATTTTAACCTAAACTGTAAATAAATATTGCGTTACAGAATGAGGCATGAAACTGACTCATAAATGTGAGCTATCGTTCTTTCTGAATCTCTGCTCTAGCTGTGTTCAGTTCCTTCTCTTCACTGCTAAGAAGTCCATGCTTTGTCGTGTGTTTGCTCTGCCGCTTTTGCCAGAGGTCTACCTATTTCACGAGCCTTAGAGACCCAGCTGCAATTTTCTGGATCCTCTATTCATTTTTTCTTTGATTAATTTCTGTTTTTATCATTTGTTTTTTTTGATGGAGTTTCACTCTTGTTGCCCAGGCGGGAGTGCAATGGCATGTTCTTGGCTCACCACAACCTCCACGCTCCCAGGTTCAAGTGATTCTCCTGTCTCAGCCTCCTGAGTAGCTGGGATTACGGGCATGTGCCACCACAACCGGCTAATTTTGTAATTTTAGTAGAGATAGGGTTTCTCCATGTTGCTCAGGCTGGTCTCGAACTCCTGACCTCAGGTGATCCGCCCACCTCGGCCTCCCAAAGTGCTGGGATTACAGGTGTGAGCCACCACACCGGACTAGTTCTGTTTTTATCTTTACAATTTTTTTTCTTCTACTTTTGTTGTTGTTGTCTTATTCTGTTCTTTTTCTTACTTGTAGAATTGGACACTTAGCTCATGAATTATGAATCTTTTTTTTTTTTTTTTTTTTGAGACAGTTTCACTCTGTCACCCAGGCTGGAGTGCAGTGGCATGTTCTCAGCTCATTGCAACCTCTGCCTCCCAGGTTCAAGTGATTCTCCTTCCTCAGTCTCCCAAGTACCTGGGATTACAGGCATGTGCCACCGCACCCGGCTAATTTTTGTATTTTTAGTAGAGGCAGGGTTTCACCATGTTGACCAGGCTGGTCTCGAACTCCTGACCTCAAGTGATCCACCCACCCTGGCCTCCCCAAGTTCTGGGATTACATGCTTAAGCCACTGTGCCCAGACTTTTTTTTTTTTTTTTTTGAGACAGGGTCTCACTCTGTCGCGTCACCCAGGCTGGAGTACAGTGGCACAAACATGGCACGCTGCAGCCTCAACCTCCTGGGTTCAAATGATCCTCCTGCCTCAGCCTCCCAAGTACCTGGGAGTGTAGGTGTCCACCACCATGCTTGGATAATTTTGGTATTTTTTCTAGAGACAGTTTTTGCCATGTTGCTCAGGCTGGCTTTGAACTCCTGAGCTCAAGCGATCTACCCGTCTCGGCCTGCGGAAGTGCTGGGATCACAGGCGTGAGCCCGTGCCTGGCTGAATCTTCCTTCTTTTCTAATGTGCTCAGTTCAGGCTATGGATTTCCCTCTGCATCCTCCTTTAGTGGTGTCCTTTGAGAGTTACCACACAGTGACTTATCTTTCAGTTCTAAATATTTTCTGATTTCCCTTATGATGTCTTCTTTAACTTTTATGTTAGGCAATCCATGAATTTAGAATTTAAAACATAGGGGTTTAAAAATCGTTCTATAATTTATCTCTAAGCTGATTGCATAGTAGCCAAATACCAACCTATTTTATGTGCTGAGCATGACGTTGTGACCTGCCACACACGCGGTCCAAAAACACTTTTTTTATTTCAGTCTTAAAATTGTCTCTTCAAAGACAACATGTACAATTTTTATAGAATTACCATGTGTGTTTGGAAAGATATATTCTCTAATTCTTGGGTATAGGAGTCTCTTATTACCCATGCATCCTTTGGAGAATATCTCCACTTCTGCCTGCTTGGTCTATCAATCCCTGAGAGATGGGAAGAATGCAGAGGATGACTTTCTGCTGTAATAATACATGTGGCAGCCACGGACCTACGCTGCTCAGCTTTCCCTTCACAGGGACCTCCCGCGGGGAGTGTGCTCGGCCAACAGCCTTCAGACCACCATGGTATTCAAGCCAAAACCACATTCCTGTCCCTCCGACCCCAGTTACTCGCAGACAGTGACTAATCGCCAAGGGGACACTAGGACCACAACTGCCTGGTGCGAGGGTCCTCTTACGAGGAGTCACTGCTTGGAGACTCTCCATCTGTCTGGCCAAGCTTGCTCAGAGTCCTGCTGCAGCCTGAGGCGTCCTCCTTCCCTTCCTCCCTCCCTCCCTCCTTTATAAGTCAGACCTGCCTTTGTGGCCTGAAGGCTCTCCTAGCCTGCAGCTTCTTTGCTTCTTTTTTTTAAATTTGAGACAAAGTCTTGCTCTCTTGCCAGGCTGGAGCGCAGTGGTGTGATGTTGGCCACTGCAACCTCTGCCTCCTGGGTTCAAGCGATTCTCCTGTCTCAGCCTCCCAAGTAGCTGGGATTACAGGCGCGTGCCACCACACCTGGCTAATTTTTGTATTTTTAGTAGAGACGGGGTTTCACCATGTTGGCCAGGATGGTATCGATCTCTTGACCTCGTGGTCTGCCAACCTCAGCCTCCCAAAGTGCTGAGATTACAGGTGTGAGCCACTGCGCCAACCTTGCTTCTGTTTTTTTGAGACAGGGTCGCAGTCTGTCTCCTAGGCTGGAGGGCAGTGGCATGATTACTGCTCACTGTAACCTCGACCTCCAGAGCTCAATATGATCCTCCTGCCTCAGCCTCCCAAGTGACTGGGACCACAGGCATGTGCCTCGATGCCTAATTATTTTATTTTTTGGTAGAGATGGGGTCTCCCTATGTTGCCCAGGCTGGTCTCAAACTCCTGTCCACAAGCAATCCTCCTACCTCGGCCTCCCAAAGTGCTGGGGTTATAGGCATGAGCCACCACGCAGCCCCTCGCCTGCTTCTGCACTCCCCCTTCATCCTTGTGTATCTAATGTGCATCTAATCTAATCTCTTGTGTATCTAATGCCGTCATGGTGTTTATTTCTTGGAATCCAAACTAGCCCAGGGAATTTGTTCATTTCTCCTTGTAATTGTGACAATTCTTGACATATTGTGGGGTACATAGAAGTTCAACTTCTTATATATTCTTGATGAATTGTTCCTATTACTATATACAACAATCCTCCTAATTCTTAATAACACACTTTATTACATATCTATGCCCCTGAACAATACGTAGTATCATTCTATTTTTTTGTTTGTTTGTTTGAGACGGATTTCGCTCTTGTTACCCAGGCTGGAGTGCAATAGCGCAATCTCGGCTCACCGCAACCTCTGCCATCTGGGTTCAAGCAATTCTCCTGCCTCGGCCTCCTGAGTAGCTGGGACTACAGGCATGCACCACCATGCCCAGCTAATTTTTGTATTTTTAGTAGAGACAGGGTTTCACCTTGTTGACCAGGATGGTCTCGGTCTCTTGACCTCGTGATCCACCCGCCTCGGCCTCCCAAAGTGCTGGGATTACAGGCTTGAGCCACCACTGCGCCCGGCCTTAATTTCTTATATATTCTTGATGAATTGTTCCTATTATTGTATATAACAATCCTCCTAATTCCTAATAACACACTTCATTACGTATCTATGCCCCTGAACAATACATAGTATCATTCTATGTTTTTTCAACTTTAAAATTACTGTTTTAAAGCATTCCTCTCCAATTTATGTTTCTGAGATTCACTCATGTAGATACATGGAGTTGGAGTTTATTTTTACTGCTTTATATTAATCTGTTGTCTGCATAAAATACAATGTATTTATCTCCTCTGCCACTGAAGGACAGTGTTTTGTTTAAGACGGAGTT